AAATGGACAGTGTTTCTGCAGGACTGAGTAGTGAAATAGGCAAAGTTAAGATGATGTGTGAGGAATGGGAAAGAAAATGGAGTGAGGAAAAAGAGAAAATGTACGAAAAGTTAGAAAAATTAGAAATAGGACAGAAAGGTATAGAAGCAGAAATGGAATTGGAATTAAATGCGGTAAAAGAGGAAGTGAGAGAATCTAGAGAAATAATAGGGGAATTAAGGAAAAGGATTACTGTTTTGGAATCAGGAACAGAAACGGGTATAAAAAATTCAGGAGAATCAGTATTGGAGGAGAAAATGAATGAGGTCTCAAGATGGATGGAAAAAACAGAAAGAGATAAGAGAAAGAATAATATAGTGATAAGAGGAATGAATGTTGATAGAAGAGAAGGAAGAATAGCCATACAAAAAGTGCTAGACGATATCGGAGCGGATGTGGAAATTATAGGATTGAATGGAGTGGGAGGAGAGAATAAAGAGAAACCTAAGGTTTGGATCGTACAGCTGGAAAGTGAAGACCAAAAGATGAAAGTCATGTCGGCAAAAAATAAACTGAAAGGCAGGAAAGAAATGATAGAGGAGGACAAAACGTGGAAAGAGAGGGTGATTTCAAGAAAACTAGATCAGAAAAAATGGGAAGAGAGGGTAAAAGGTAGTGAGGTTAAAAGGGGAAGAGATTGTTTGTGGGTTAATGGTAGTAAATGGGTGGTTTGTAAAGTGACTGGAGAAGTGGTGGAGGAAGAAAGGAGAAGAGAGAGAAATACATCGCAGGTAGGATACAGGAGAAGTAGAGAGCAGGTTTTTCGGCAGGAAGAAGGGGCAGTTGGGAGAGAACACAGAAAGCAGGAATAAAAGTGGGGTTCTGGAACGTAGGGGGAATTAAAAATAAAGATGAAGGATTTTGGAGAACTATAGAAAAATGGGATGTGCTGTTTCTTAGTGAGACGTGGGTAGAGAAGAAAGATTTTAAGAAAATTGAAAGAACATTGCCAAAAGGGTACAAATGGAAATTGCAAGAAGCGAAGAGAGATGGACAAAGAGGAAGAGGATCAGGAGGGATTATTTCAGGGGTAAGAAAAGAGATCAAGGAAGTAAGAAAAGAGGGTATGGTAGTGAACGACGATTGTATAGTAAGGAGTATTAAGAGAGGTAGGGGAACGCTAGATATTGTAGGAATTTATAGAAGAAGAGGCGATGAAAAGGGTTGGGAAATAATTAAAGATTGGATGCAAAAAGGAAAGGACAACAAGGTTATAATTGGGGGGGATTTAAATGCATGGACAGGAGAATTGGGGGGTGGTTTATGGGATGAAGAGATGGAGAAGTACATTAGAGTTTCCAAGCATAAGAAAGTGGATGAAGAGGGTAGAAGATTATTGGAATTGTTGGAGGAAGAAGGATGGTCCATTTGCAATGGGAATATGAGAGGAGACGAGGAAGGAAATTTTACTTACAGAGGAAAAGGAGAAACCACTATTGATTACGTGTTGACAGATGAGAGGGGAAGAGAGGAAATAATTAAAATGAAAGTAGGGAGAGAACCTATTTCTCTCCCATTTTCTGACCATTTTCCGTTGGTGGTAGAATTAAGGGACGGGAAAAAGAGACACAGAAATGGAAGCAGAGATCCAGAAATAGAGATAGATGTTGGGAAAAGAAAGAAAATTAAAATGGGTAAATGGAACGCGGAGAGGTTAGCGGATTTTCAGGAAAGAATGCGGAGAGAAATGGAAGAATGGCAGGACGAAGAGAGTGTGGATAATAAAATACTAAAGTTAAAGGACAAGATTGAGAAAGTTAAGAAAGAAATGGGCAATGTAGAAGGGCAAGAACTGGGACACAGAAAGTGGTGGGATAGTGAATGTGAAGAAAGTAGGCAACGAATGAGAGGTTATATAAAAGAATGGAGGAACGGTGAAATTGAGAGGAAAGAGTATAATAGGAAACACAGGGAACACGAGAAATTACTAAAACAAAAAAGAGAAATGGAAAAGAAAAGATTCATGGAGGAAGTAGAGAAGGCGGTACAAGAAGGTAAAGAATGGGAGGTAGTAAATAGAGAAAGAAAGAGAGGGAAATCTATAAATGGTAAAATTAAAATAGAAGAGTGGACTACGTATTTTATGGACATGAGTGGGGGAACGAGTTACAGAATAAGAGGTGAAGGAAGAAGGATAGTGAGAGAGGATGATGTGGAAGACGTTTCAAGAGAAGAGGTAGAAGATGCGATTGATAGGCTGAAGAGGAGTAAGGCGGTGGGTAAAGATGAAATGGAGGGAGAGGGTATTAAATATGGGGGTGAAAAGGTGAGAAGGGTGATATGGGAAATTGTCAACGAGGTATGGAAAGGAAATGGGTGGCCGGAGGAGTGGAAGACGGGCCTGATTGTGCCACTGGTTAAAAAAGGGGAGGGAGAGAAAATAGAGGAGTACAGAGGAATTACCTTAATGCCAGTGAGCTATAAGGTATATGCGGAGGTACTTAGGAAAAGGTTGGAGAAAGAAGTTGAGGAAAATGGAGGTATCCCACACAATCAGGCTGGATTCAGAAAGGGTATGGGTACAATGGACCACATATACACCCTCAATTATTTAGTGAATAGGAACTTGAGAGAGAAAGGGGGTAAACTAATAGCCCTATTTGTAGATTTTAAGGCTGCATTCCCGTCTGTGAATAGAAAAATATTGTGGAAAGCACTTAAGGAAAAAGGAATTAAGGAAGGAATAGTGGAGAGGATAAAAGAAATGTACACGGATGTGAGGACGCAGGTCAAAATAGGAGAAACGATTGGGAAAGAGTTTTGGCTAGGTAGAGGCCTGATGCAGGGTTGTCCTCTAAGCCCTGTTCTCTTCAGTTTGTTGATGGCGGACTTGGAGGAAAAATTGAAAAGAAGAGGAAAAGGGGGGATAATATTAGGTAAAGGGAGAATTTATTCACTTGCCTACGCGGATGATGTGGTTTTGATGTCAGAGAATGAGTCAGGGATGCGTTTGTTGATTAAAGAATTTGAAAAATATGTGAGAGAGAAAGATTTGTGGATAAATGTGGAAAAAACTAAGGCGATGAGATTTATGAAGAAAAAAGATGGAAAAGAGAATGAATGGAGACTGAATGGAAGGGTGGCTGAGGAAGTGGATGAATTTTGTTATTTGGGTTTTTGGTTGCATTATGGTGGAGGGCATGAGCTGAATGTGAGAAGGAGAGTGGAAAGAGCGAATAAGATAATGGGTCAAGTATGGGGAATAGGGAAGAGAATGTTCAAAAACGACTGGAAAAAGAGATTGTGGTTGTATGATATGTTAGTATGGTCGGTGATGAGTTATGGCGTGGAAGTTTGGGGATGGATGGAAATGGAAAAAGTGGAAAGTATGCACGAGAAATTTTTGAGATGGGTTATGGGTGTGAGTAGATACTGTCCAGGGTACATGTTAAGAGAGGAAGTCGGAAGAGAGAAAATGGTGGTGAGGCAGAGAAGTAGAGCTTGGAGTTTTGAGGAAAAGCTAAGACAGGGTGGAGGGTGTAGTTGGACTCAAATGTGCGTGGGGCAAGTGAAAGAAAGGGAGCAAAAAGGAAGGAAAGAATTGTCAAGATGGGAAATTAATAGAAGGGATGCAATTAAAGAAGGGATGAAAGGAGGTCGAAAATGGACGGAATTGAGAGAGGGGTGGAGGGAGAAAGAGAGGGAAGAGAGATGGGAAAGGATAAGAAACTCGAAATACAACAGATGGTATGGGATGGTAAGAGGAGGTGAAATACCTCAATACTTGAAGAGAGTAAGGAAAGAGGAGAGATGGAACAGGATAATAAGGTTTAGAATGGGAGAAGGAATGAATGAATGTAAATATTGGATGGATGAGAGTGAGAGACTGTGTAGGGTGTGTGGCTTTGAGTTGGAAGATTGGGAACATGTGTTGGATAGATGTGCAAGTCGTGGAGAAAATGAGAAAGGTGTGGATGAAAGGATAGGATGGATAATGGATGAGAATGGGCAAGGTGAGAAATGGATGTATGAGTTAGAACAAATGAGAAAATAGTAGGGTAAATTAAAGATAAAGAGGGTGGGAACGATGCTAAATTTAAAATTTTAATTTGACGAAGCCAAATGGAACGGGAAACGGAAGCCCGGCACTGGCGAATACTTAGGAAATAAGATTATTGTATTAGGATAAGTTAAGTTAAGAGATTGTATATTAGGTTAAGAATTTTTTGTATTATGGTTCCTCGAACCCTGCGAAATTAAGCAGGGAGAGTAAATAAAGATATATATACTTATCAAAAGAATTGAATTCTGCTGATAAATTTTGATATATTTATCAAAATAATTGAATTGTTTTGGAGAATTGCTTAAATATTTTTGAAAATAATTGAAATTTCGCAAACAATTTTATTCCTAATCTTTTAAAAATAATTGAATTTTTGGTGAAAAATTTTGCTATAATTATAAAGAGAATTGAATTTTTAAAGAGATATTCGTTAACATTTTTGAAAATAATTGAATTTCTACAAAAAATTTTATTACTTTAGAAAATAATTGAATTCTTGTGATGAATATTGTGATTTATGAAAATAATTGAATTTTGCAAAGAATTTTTTCTCTTAAAATAGTTGAATGTCAGTGAAGAATTTTTTTATTTATCATGAGATAATTGAGTTAAAACTTTTTAAATAATTAAATAATATTAAAAAAATTCATTCTTGTCAGAAAAACAAACAAATTTTGAAGGTTTTGTATTAGAATTCGTGGTAGTTTCAAAGTTTATTGAGGCAAACAAAAAAAGACACAAAAATTCAGAATTTTTTTATGAATTCTAAAAATTTAATTTTTTCCAGCACTTTTAATAAAATTCCCTGACTTTTCGTGACCAATCCTACTTTCCCTGACTTTTTCCTGATTTCTCTGACCTGTGACAACCCTGCTTGTGGATTTTACTAATACAGGTAAAACTTACCATAAAATATATGAAATATAATAAATTCACGTAATTAAAAATTTGTTTGCAGAAAAGATGCTATAAGATCTAAATCTTAGGCGTGGATGAAGGCGCGGCGTGAATTGGAGACAGTTTTTTGATGATTTCTTTTGATCGAGAGGAAGCGAGAGAGAGAGAGAGGGAGGGAGGGAGAGAGGCCCCTTAATGAACTCGTGGTCGTTTTGGCACCAGGGAGTCAGGCGTGTAAGTGCAATTGTTAAGGTCGGTAGCACAAATCGAATGTTGACTTTAACGAGCAAACTCGAGCACTCGTTATTGCTGGAGCAACGACCCGAGGAAAAGGGCGATAAATTAAAGGAGCTTATCGACGATCGTTCGCGCAAACCAGGCATGCAGATGCTGCTTGCTACTTCTTCTCGCTGCACAACAGCGGCAGCAACGAGATGACTCTCCGACTCCCAACCATCTCTCTACGACTAGAACGACATTGCCATCAATCTTTTTCACCTAGTAAAAGGCATCGGGAACAGATACCATCATATTTTTCAAACTTCATTTCACATTCAAATACTTTCTCATGCTAATAAAATAATTATAATTTCAGAATAGCTGATTTTTAAGAAAAAAAAATTATCTCTAAACATATTCTTTCTTTTCTATTTATATTTCTATTTCTATTCCTTGTTGATGGAAAAAATGCACTTTCCAAACAGGAAGTGGATAAATAATTATTTAATTTTCAGAAAATTTACGACCACCATAAAATGTCACAGCTAAACACGCATCAATCCCAAGATGATCATTGATAATTAAAGTAATTAACAATTAACAATTAGTCGAGTTGAATTCCTCGGGGTATTTTTTCAAGGAAAAAAAAACTTTCTCCAAGTAGTCTTAATGATTATAAGTTTTTTTTCCAATTATATAATTATCAATTGATAACATTGAAAGTGGAAAAATAATCCTAGACTCCTTGAGCGTGACTTTCGAGCATATCCAAACTCCTTTTTCCTAGACACTGAGAGTCTCCCACGGAAGTGAATAAAACAAAGAAAAGAAACCAGGAGCATGAAAGAAAAGGTTGCAAAGGGCGTTCTTAGAAATACGTTCCACAAAGTTAACTGTAAATACCAAACGCGATTCGATATTTTACAATTTTTATCATAAAACCAAAAAATTGAAGTGTAGTTCTTAAAGATGACGGACGTCATCTTTAAGAAGTACACTTCGATTTTTTGATTTTCAAAACTTTTATGTGATACGAAAAGGAAATCCAAAAAAAGATACTGTCGAATAGAATTCAAACTTTTACAAAAAAAGTTAATTTCAAAATTCAATTACTATTTTAAAAATTCAATTTATTTTGCATTTAACATTCAATTCTTATCTTAAATTTTAACAGAAATTAATTTTTAAATGAATTTTTATTAGAAAATTCTACTAGAATTCAATTATTTAAATACAAAAATTTTTTGATTAAAATTATTTAATCTATGGAATAATTGAATGTTTCTTAAAATTCAATTCCCATAAAGAATCGTTATTAACAAACTTTTAAATAATTGAATTTTATCAACGAATTTTAATGAAAATTTTAAGAATATAATTACATTTTTCGAGAAATTCGATTTAAATTGTATTAAAAATAATTGAAATTCTGCGATGAGTTTTATTATTTATGAAAATAATATCACACAGAAAACTGAGTGTTGTTTTTATTTCGGGTAATATTTTGGTTGGGTTATCTCATTGAGGGTAAATATTCATAATAGGAAATCTACCCTATTTAAATATCAGAAACTTTTTTATTGAAAGTCGTAGAGGACAAGTTGCCCTACAATATTGATATATAAATATTCGCATCTAAGCGGATTATATTGTCTAAAAAAATCATTTATGCAAAATTTAACCTTTCGCCCCAGTCTCCCCTAACTTTAATTGAATTCCCCTAAAAAGAATTCCGCTTATTTTTAAAAGTTTTGATAAAATTCTTCGCAAAAATTCAATTATTTTGCAAAAATTTTAATTAAATTCTTTATGAGAATTGAAATATTTTGTATATTTTGTATTTGTATTAATATACAAAATGTTAATTATAAAATTCTTTTAAAAAATTGAAATATTTTCATATTCTACTATTTTTAAATATATTTCTCGAAAAATCAAATTCTTTTAATAAATTTTTATAAAATTCTATATAAAAATTGAATTAATTTCAAACAATTTTAATTAAATTTGATGAAAAAAAATTTTGTAGATTTTGAAATATCATTGAATTGAGAAAAATTTTTGAAAATAATTGATTTCGGAGAAGAATTTAGTTATTTCTAAAGATAATTGAATTTTTGAGGAGAATTTAAAAAAATTTTTGAACATAATTGAATTTCTACGAAAAATTTTATTACTTTCGGCAATAATTGAACTTCTGCAATTATTTGTAATTTATCTAAAAGTATCCAAGTTCTATCGTACAATTTACGAACTTTTGATCCTTCTTTAATAAAATTACGGACTTTACGGACCTAGTTCGAGCCCTGAAATCATAAGATATATAAATTTTGTGACAATCTGAATTACTTTCGATCAGACTTTTCAAAAATACCTCAGGACTTTCGTTCAAAGACTATATAAAAATACAGAAAATCGTTGTTCCATATTCATTAGAACGTCAGAAAATTTTCTTCCGATCAAGAGTGATTTTCTTCACTTTTCGTGTGCAAGGTTCTTACCATCGAGTGCATTATATATAAGAGCGAAACACGTGAACTCAATTCCTGGGGCAGAACTTGAGTAGTTGGTAATCATGAACGATGGGATCGAAGAGAATGCAACGATTTGCGAACGAAGAAGAGAACGCAGCCTGTACTTAGGTCGCAAAACGAGCCCGAGGGTGTCCGCCATTGTGATCGTAATTGTAACCTTTTGTTGATGGGATTAAAACCGGATCACCTGTAACATTCAGATCGAAAATCACGACTCTTCGACAGTTCAAGGTCCCATCCTTTTTTCTCCCACTGACAAGATTATCTATACTCATCTCTCCGTGCGCAAACTAAATTTTATACATCATCCGAATAGTTAAACAATATACTTGAAAAATAAAAATCCAAACGAATAATAAAGCTCTTAATAAAAATACTACTCGAAAAATAAAAGTAAAAGCAAATAATAAAACTCGAAATAAAAATACTTCTCGAAAAATGAAAGTAAAAGCAAATAATAAGAAAATCAAAACGAAAAATAAAACCACTGGAAAAATAAGAATGAAACAACTCGAAAAAGAGGAAGGGTAACAGAACTATGCGAAAAATGAGAAAATATTCTCGACTTTGACACATTTCCAACAAGAGCTCAAAAGGAAAATTCTTGACAGTGATATGAAGGTTTGAAATAGTTTGCACCTTGAAGTATACGTATCCTTATCATGATTTTAAACTTTGTTGTAAGTGCACGCACGTATAGACGATTCCTGACACGCGAATCGACATAGTCGACGGTTCAAAAGCAATACGAGTCTCGAGAATCGTTAAATGTCGAGTGATCCACCTTGAACCAACACATCAGTTGTTAAAAAATATCGGTCTCGTCTGCACTTCGAAATCACCTTCAGCAATCGAAGGTACTTTTAAGTCTCCTTGACCCTTGCATACCAATCCCTCTTGAATCTTGATTCGTTTCATGATGTGAAGAAACAACTCGGATTATTCCCAGATTCCAAACTCAGATTTTTTACCCATAGAAAAAAAGAATGATGATGATGATCGACATGTTCATTACTTTTATATAATCAATAATAATCATTCGCGAATATATTCACTTTGACGCAAAACATTTTGATGAATTACTCGATAAGCATCATGTTTATATAAAAGCCTTTCCTTCTTCTTCCTAACATTGCATTTACTCTTCTGAAAAATCGTTCCCTTTTTTACACTCTGATAAAAAATCATTCCCTTTTTTACACTCTAACAGAACTCGAACCAGTGAAAGTATTTAAAGTATATTTAAAATACGGACTTTACGGAATAAAAATTAAAAATTGCGAACCATTCGCAGACAACCTACTAATAATAAAAATAAAGTCAGTCCGAATCAAATAAGAGAATGTTTTACTTAAAACTGTAAATGAAATTTTTTCATGTAAAGAAAAGAACATAGAATCAAAACTTCTTCTTACTTTAAGGTGTTTCTTTCACTTTTATTACTGTTGGGTAAAAGTTTTATAAACTTTTACAGTACTGAAATTGACTTTTTGGATTCAAATTTTAAGCTTTTAACAAAATTTTATGTATACTTCAAAATTTAAATTCAAATATCTCATATTCATTACTGTAAAGGGATCTAAAAATTTTACCAGACAGAAGGTTTGCATAAAAGAAATATTCACTAAAAATTTCAAGAATATTTCATCAAAATCGATTTTTTTAAGTATAAAGGTAAGCGAATTATCATAAAGAGAAATTAATTTATATTTTTTTCAGGAAACAATTTCAGGATAGCCACAAAAATTTAATTTTTCCCTGATTTCCGAATAAAATTTTGACTTTTTCTCTGGCCCTAAAGAATATTCTGATTCACTCTAAAAATGTTCTATTACATTTATTTGAGAATTTCTTTAATTGTAAAATTATTCGAAAACATCAAGAACTTCTATTTTTAAATAATATTTAATCATAATAATAATGAAATATTATTCAAAAATTGATGTGATTGATGTTTTCGAATAATTTTACAAATAAAGAAATCCTCAAATATATAATCCTATTCTTCCATATAGGAATTAAATTTTCTCAAAAAAATTAATTCTGCAGAATTGTTAGTTAAAAGTATAAAATATTCAAAGATTTTAATTTAAAACCTTTTCGAAATTCAATTATTTAACAAAATTCATGCTAAAGTGCTTGTAATATTTAAATACCATCTCAAATTTTAACTTACATTCATTTTTAAATCAATTTTTATTAAAAAAAATTCTACGAGAATTCAATCATTTAAGTACAAAAATAAATAGCTTATTGAATAACTGAATATTTCAGAAAATTGAATTATTACAAACAATTAGAATAATTACATTTTTCTAGAAATTCATTTTCTGTCTGTGATCTCTAATGTACAAATTAGGTCGATGCGGATGCATCTTTACTCTTGTTGTCTCACAATGAAGTTTGTTGAGTCCTTGAGGATTGGCGAGTTAAATAATTTTTTTAAAAGGGGCCCACGTCCAATATTTCAATCAGACGAGGGCGCCGAGCACTTGGTCGGCAATATTCGGGTTTATAGTTTAAAATATTTTAAAGTGTCTCATTTTTGTGTTCTTCGATCTGTTTGAAAAATTTTATTTTATGAATTTTATTTCGATTTCTTTTCCAATTTTCGTTTTTCTGATACGGGCGGGTGGGGACGCTGGCTATCAAAAATGTATTTAAAAAATTGTCAATTGTCACATTTGGAAGAGCAATAATCCCCCTTTAATTTGTGACCAAGAAATAAAACTTTGGTCTAAAATTGTTCGAGTTATGAATTTTTTTTCCAATTTTCGTTTTTCTGATTCGGGCGGGTGGGGACGC